CCCCCAGGTCTAACTATCTTCTGGCAGAAGCATTCAACAGAACAAAATATGTGGTGCATTTAGGATGTTGGTCCTCTTGTGCATGCTGCCACTGTTAAGGTCATCAGACTCACAGTGACTTTCAGCAGTCTATTGTATAGGTAATCGTCATCTTTGGCCTGTCCAAGGAAAACTGAACCTGCAGATGGTGGGCATGCCATCCCCCACCTCCTACGCAGGCGCCCAGCGGGGCATGTGCCCCTCCACACCACGGGTGCGTGGCCCCCCTCAGCACAGGCGGCCGTTGGGGGCGCGCCACCCCCCACCCTGCCGCACGGGCGCTTGGCAGCTGCACGGCCCCTCTTGTGCGGGCAGCTGGTGGGCGCCCACTTCCCCCACTGCCGCCATCCTGGCTCCAAGAATTCTCTCCAGAACAAGTCCACCTTGCGGCAGTGTGGTGGCTTCACTGTACCAGTCTTGAGGAGGACTGGTGCCCAGCATCCATCCTGGATGAGGGAATCCATTGGTTCCGGCTGTGGAAGCCTTATGGAGCTGCAGCGGCTGTGTGGCACAATGCGGGCCCTGCAGGAGGGGGTTGGGAACCACGAGACTCACCCATTCCTCCTTGGGAATCCATGAATTCCTGTTGTTGAGCCTTGATTTTCACTGAGGGCCAGTCATCAACTGTTTTAAGTGTTCAATTATCAATAAGCTGAAGTCTGTAGAAGGCCATAATGGCCCTGCTTTAAGTGGTTCACTGCTCCCGCAGCTCACCATGTTGTCTCTGCCTCTGCCGCCATCTTGGATCTCTTAACATTAATCTTGACATAAATTTTCCTTTTGCTGTTCTTTAATATTTTGTAGTCATTTACCATCATTCATCTCCACACCAGCTTGTTTCAGTTGTTGTTGTTTTTATGTGCTGTCGAGTCACTTGTGACTTATAGCAACCCTATATACAACAGCCCTAAACTCTGCTCTGTCCTGTGCCAATTACACTGTCTCCGATACACCCATCCCGATTACCCAGTCACTGAATCAATCCACCTCAGAGAGGGCTTCCGCTCAAGGAAAAACCAGGTAAGGGAGGTCTCCAGCTCTGGCCGCTCCGAAGCCATCCCAGGCCGCCTGCGCCCGCAGGAGCCCGGTGGGCTGTTCTGAATCCTCATTCTTTTTTTTAAATGACTCTTCACTCTTTTTTTTTTGACTCTTCACTCTTGATACCATGTTCTTCTTCACATAATCCAGCTTCTCACATTATTTGCTCAGCATACAGAATAAATAAACATGCTAAAAGGATACAATACTGATGTACATCTTTCCTGATTTCAAATCACATGTGATTCTTTTGTGCCATCAAGTTGGAACAGACTCATAGCTGATTCTCCAGCTACTTTTCAGAGGCTGTAAATCACATAGGAGGAGATTGTCCAACTTTTTCTCGTGAATCACCTAGTGCATTCCAACTGTGTGCCTTTGGGTTGGAAGAGCAGTTTCTTACCATTAGGTCACCAGAACTGTCTTTAAATCACAGTGTTGTTGTTGGGAAACTATTGTCTCTCGGTCTATGTAGTATGAGTTCCGTAAGTGTTCCAGAATTATCATTCTTTGCAGTTGTTATTTGCTGTTGAGTCATTTGCAGTTCATAGCGACCCTATGTACAACAGCCCTAAACTCTGCTCTATCTCTTGCCAACTTTATTGTTTCTGACACACCTATTGCCTTTACCCCAGTGATGAAATCAATCCTTATCATTGAAGGTCTTCCTCTTCTGAGCTGTCTCTCTACACTCCCAAGCATGACATCCCTCTCCAAGGACTGATCCTGCCTAGCAACATGTCCAGGTATGTCAGACAGAGCTTCAGAATCCTTAACCCCAGCAAGCAGCCTGGCTTTGCCTTCTCCAGGACAAACTTTTGTTCTCCGAGCAGTCTGTAGTATATTCAGTGCTTTTCTCCACCACCAAAGCTCAAATTCATCAACTCTCCTTCTATCATCCCTAGTCATTGTCCAGCTCTCTGATGCATAACAAGTAGTGGCAAAGACCATTGCCTGTATCAGGTGCACCTTAGTCTCCAGACTGACATCATTGCTCTTCAGTACCTTGGAGAGGTCTCTGACAGTAGACTTTCCCAATGCAATTTGTCTTTTAATTTCCTGGCTGCTGGCACCAAGAGTGTTGATTGTGGAGCCAAGCAAACTGAAGCTGTCAACAGTCTCAATCTCTTCACCATCTATCGTGATGCTGCCAATTGGCCCAGTGGTGAGAATCTTTGCTTTCTTGATGTTGAACTTCAGTCCATATTGAAAGCTGAAGTCCTTGACCTTCTGCAACAAGTGCTTCAGATCCTCCTCAGTTTTAGCAGTAGGGTTGTGTCATCTGCATAATGCAGATTGTTGATGAATCTTTTTTCCATTCTAATGCCACACTTCTCCTCATAGGGCCTAGCCTCCCAGATAATCTGTTCTGCGTATAGTTTGAAAAGATATGAAGATAGGACACATCCCTGGCGTACTCCCTTCCCAATTTTCAACCACATAGTGTTTCCTTGTTCTGTTCTAATGACTGCCTCCTGGTCCAAGTATAAGTTTTGCATAGGCACAATAAAGTGTCTGGGATTCCCATTCTTCTTAAAGTCAGCCACAGTTTGTTGTGATCCATACAGTCAAATGCCTTTGCATAGTCAATGAAACACAGATAGACATTCCTCTGGTACTCTCTGCTTTCAGCCAAGATCCATCTGACGTTAGCTATAATATCCCTTGTGCCACAGCCTCTTCTGAATCCAGCCTGCACTTCAGGCTGTTCTCTATTGATGTGCTGTTCCAGTCTTTTTTGGATGATCTTCAGCACAATCTTGCTTGCATGTGATATCATTGTCTCCGACACACTTACCCCCGTTACTCCAGTCACTGAATCATTCCATCTCATTGAGGGTCTTACTCTCCTGCACTGTCCCTCCACCCTCCCAAGCATGATATCCTACTCCAAGGACTGGTCCCTCCTTATAACATGTCCAAAGTCTGTCATCTTTGGAATGGGAACAAATAAAGATCTCTTTTAGTCAGTACTGGTCAGGTGGTTGTTCTCAGATTTCTTGGCACAATTTGGTGAGCACATCCAGGGCAGCATCTGTTTGTTGAAATATGTCAAAATGTATGCCATCAATTCCTAGGGCCTTGTTTTTTGCCAATTCTTTCAGAGCAGCTTGAACTTCCTCCTTCACCACCACAGGCTCTTACCTGTTGTTTCATGAAATTCTTCTATGTCCACCAATTCCTTTTGGTACAGTGACTCTGTATACTCTTTCCATCTTCTTTTAATGCTTCCTGGATCATTTAATATTCTTCACAAAGCATTGTTAAGTATTGCAACTTGAGGTTTGAATTTGTTCTTAAGTTCCTTCAGCTTAAGAAATGCTGAGCGAGTTCGGCCCTTTTGATTTTCTGACTCCAGCTCCTTGCACATTTCATTGTAATACTTTACTTTGTCTTTCCTCACTGACCTCTGAAATCTTCTGTTCAGCTCCTTAATATCTCAATTTCTCCCCTTTGCTTTGGCTTCTCGGAGCTCTGGTGCAGTACTTTGCAATGTTACTCATAATTTCCTGTGGCTCACATCCTGCCTCTTCCTTATCTTCTGAGTGCCTTCTGGTTTGCTGGCAGCTTCTTGCCATTAGGCCACAATGCTCACAAGTGAAACACCAGTAAACATTATTCTGATTTCTACTTTTGACCAATATCTATCGGACATCAGCAGTGTTATCCTTGGTTCCACATTCTCCACTGAATACCTCTTGAGTTTCTGGAAATTCCCTATTGATGTGCTGTGGGTATTGTTTTTTAATTAGCTTCAGCAAAATTTTACTTGCATGTGACATTAGTGATATTATTTGATATTTCCCACATTCTGTGGATCACTTTGCTTTGGAATAGGCTAACTAACTCCAGCACTTTGCACATTTCATTATAACACTTTACCTTTTCAGGCCACTCTTTGAAGTCTTCTATTCAGCTCTTTTACTTGATCATTCCTTCATATTGGTTTAGCTACTTAATGAATCTTTATTGGAGCACATTAGACCTTTTCTTCAGAGGAACACCTGGGTGGGATGATGCTGCTGACCTTTCAGTTAACAGATTCCAAAGTCCTGAACCATATGTCTTATTAATTGGTAATAATGTAATCACTGGTAATTATCCAAAATTTAATGTAAGTTGTTTCCGTAAAATTTCTAACTATATTAGCTGTTACCAAGGATGATTCAGTTGTTATTCTAAAGAATCTTTCTCTTATTATGACATTGGTAAAGTTAAATGATATTTGGTATGATAATAATGCATGCAAATTTTAAGAGTTATGTAAGTTATCATTAAGAACCAAGAGAGCTGTAGGACTTGTTATTGTAGAAATTGTTTCTCTTATCCCTATGATTGCTGCTGTCTCTACTTTTGCGGTGGCTTCAACACAAGAAGTCCACATGGCTAAGTTTTTAATTGGGTTAGTGCATATTGTGACAAAAAATTTAAAGCAAAAGAATGTATAATTAATCAATTAAGGGGACGTGGTCAAAGACCAGTCACTCCTTTTGGAGGTCCTTAATAGGCTTTCTTTTGCTTATTTCTTTTGGTCCCTGGACAATTCAGAGGCTTACATGCTTTATCAAGCAGCAGGTTGAATCCATAGCCTCCCGTCCCATACAAGTCCGTTATCAAAGACTGCAAATGGCCGATAAAGAAAATCCTTGATGATACAGGCTAATAAACCGAGCAGCCAAAGATGGGTAACAGACACTGGCCCCTGTTTCAACCTAAGACAGGCACCCCGCCATAGCAGCTGGGTTAGCCCATGACGGGTAAGATCAGTAGGTGTGGTGTCCAACCTAAAACAGGCGTGGGTTTCATACCTGGTCAAACAGGAGAGCACCAAAGGTAATCCTGTTGCGCTTTTGCAGTCTTCAAATAATTCTTGAAAGAAGGGAGGATCTGCTGGGATCCGAGCCGCTTGTTCTACCTAGCTGAAGCCATTTTGTAATTCTCTAAGAACATGTTTGGACATGTTGCCCCTCCCTGGGAGGATAGGTTTCAGTTTACCCCACTCTGGGAGGATAGGTTTCGGTTTACTGGGACCGCCCTGGTAAGTTTCTGTTTACCAGATAACTTTCAGCTTACTGGAAACGACACGTTATTCTCCCCCACTGAGTACTTCTCCTCCCCCCATTGTGTTCCTATATATAAACTGTGAATGCTTTCAATAAAATGAAGACTTGATAGGAGATTCTCAACTTGTCTTCCTGCTTTTGTGCCTCCTGTCCCCCCCATTCTCGTTCTTCCCCTCCTAGGGTCACCGTTGAAGATCCCCGCGGGCCGGGGCAGACAAGAAGCTGCACTGCAAAGTCAAAGGCATG